GCACGAGAGAACCTGGGACCTTACAGACCCCCCAGGGCTGGGCATTTTAATGGTACCTGCCCTCTGCTGTGTTCTCCAGTCTGCTCCTCCCTGGTCTTGGCTATGTCCTCTGGATAGGTTGCGTCTCTCAGAAAATAGGAAACGGCTGGAATGGATGAGCACTTATGAGTATGCAGCCTTCATTTTTCTTCCTGTCTGGGGCCGCCAGGGTCCTAGAGACCCAGGAGGTCAAATGGCTGAATGTTGTTCTGGGAATCTCGTTGTGTATATGTATCCACTATGGCCTTTATCTTGTTGCAGCATTGGTGCCATTCCTGAGGATGACATGAGCTGAGAGAAGTAGTTTTTTTCAGGACCAAGAGATGCAAGAGGAGGAGGACAAGGTGTGCCTGGTTTGGATACCAGAGAAAGTGTAGCCATTGAGCCCCCCTAGACCAGTGTCACCACTGGGCCCCATTCAATATTGGGCTAACTTCTAGTCCCAACCCATGCAATGTAGGACACGATCCAGATCACAGCCTGTGTGCTGTGGAGCCAGCGCCAGAATCCCAGCATATAGAGGGCATCAAGTACTGATAGGCCACTATACAGTGTCAACTCCTGCCTTAAGGAAGCCCCAGGATTTGATTCAGTTGTCACCAGCACCCAGTGAAACAGATAGCATGTGTGTTTATCACACAACTGTGCTAAGGCTTAGTCCTAGTGCTTAGCTGGCAGGCAGAACTGCCATCCAAGCCAGTGTTGAGGCACACCTGTGCCCACTCTCCCTGTATGCTGTTCAAGGGCATAGATGGGTGGTGGCCCATGTCCTAGCCCCTCAGAAACCCCTTGAAGACCAGGTACTGAAAGCACGACTCACTCAAGAGTCAAGTTTGCGTATCTCTCTGGCTAACAGGGATGTATTCCTACACGGAGCTTCCCTAAGACCATGAGCTCCTCCTTTGGTGCTCAGAGGCCACACTGGGCAAGTGGGACAGGTTGAACGAAAGTGGAGGAAGGCCTGTCCCCAAGGTGTTTTCTTAATGCGACGACTGGGGTTCTGCATGTACAGGCCCTGGCCCTGCTGCAGATGTCTCAGGTCTGTGGGTTCTTACTTGGTTCTGCAAATCACAACTCTTCTAAGCCCAGATTTCCCACCTGCTCACTATGTGGGGACAAGGTAGAGACTTCTCTTAGATAGCACAGACACAGAGATCAGTGATGTCAGTATGTGATTGTGAGGCTGTCCATCTGTCAATCACTGGGGTAGTGATATCACCTTGGAATTTCCATGCAAGACCCCGTGAAAGGTTGCTGGTGGTATCGTGTGGACAGTCACAATCAGTGACAATCAGTGGAAAGCCACGTTGCCTTTCTGGAAAAGCCACTTAGGACATGCTATGTGAGATCAGCTGGTCCTGGAAGGAATTTCCTGTCACAGTTATGTGCAGCCTGGAGTGCAAACAGATCCTGGTAAATCACTGGGATTGGGCTCATCTTTGGAGGTAAAAGGATGCTTTCTGGTCGTGTGACTCTGGCCTAACTATGTTGCATCTTTCTTTAGTGAGGACACTTCAGAGTTTTGTTTTTCACTGCCTCTCCTACTCCTACCCTTTGCAGACGGGGCTTCATTTGCATGGGCCCTTGGTCCTTCCACATGACCTTGGAGAGTGCCTGCTGATAGGGACCTGGGAATGGGGCCTACAGTGGTACGCTGCTGGCCCAGGACTTTCTCAGTGTTCGGGAATCAGTAGTACAGCTATAAAATGTCATTGGCTTGGTGGTATGCCCCACCTTGTTGGGACAGCTCTAGAAGACTGCCCAGTCCTTGCCCAGAGAAGCCATCTGCATATCTATAAACCATGACCACAGTGTGAAGTTTGGCAGGAATAGCAAAATGGCTGGAGCCAGTCTGCAGGCCTTAAAATAGGAGCCTGGGGTGGTGACCACATGGCTGCCCGTCCACACATTGCAGTGGCAAGCACAAGAAATCGCTTCTTTCTCTTGCGCTGCAGAGCTTGCTCCGCTTCCTGCCAGTTTGCCCGTCAGCTCCCATCAGGCCTGGCGCTCTGCTTCTGGGATCAGTGCTAGAGCTGATTGGCTGTTCTGGGTGCCCATCTGTTGCTCTGCCCATCCCCTCACTTGTCTGTGCATGTTTGTTTGTGCCTTCTTGACAACAGCATGCAATTCAGGGTGTGATTGGGCAAAATGAATGAGGCAAAACCAGCAGTCTGAGGGAGGCAGCTCTAAGTGGGGCCTCGAGTTCTGCTTGAATAGGCATAGGCCTTTGCAGAAGAGGGGTGGCTCATAGTCCTCAGGGAGGCCCGAGATAGATGCCCCATTCCTCCCCTGAGTGTGTCTGATTCATTCTCCCAACTTGGCACAGCAGCCAGGATCTGTCAGTATCCTGTATGGATCTGAGCAGTGGAATATAGTCACCTTGGACAGCTCCTCCCTGCCTGCCTTGCCTTGGAACTATCATACCTCTGTGGTCCTGAGGACATCTAGACAGGACACACTCCAGACTCTCGGTAACCTGGGCATTGCCTGGCTGTTGTTGCTGAGCCAGTCTTCCCATATTTCCTGCTAATGTGTGATACTTGCTCTAATCTGGGTTTTGGTTGAGCTGTGGAATCCAAGCAACAAGGTTGATTCAGTGCCTGTTGTCACAGAGCCTGTTGACTAGAGAAAGGGTGTTTGGGTGACAGTTGCAAAAGGATCCGTGTGGTTAGGAAGGATACCCTGAGTTGAAGGAATTATTGCTGAGAAGCCCTGAGAGCTACCTGCCAATCTGGTTGCAGATCAGATGAGCACTCTTTTGTGTGCATGTCCCTCGCTTCCTTTCCGGTGTCTGTCTGTCTGTCTGTATGACCCTGTGCTATTTCTTGCTGACCTGTGTGGCACTCATGCAAGTGGGTGGGATTCTCACATTCAGCATCTCTGCCTTGAGGGTGGGATTAATGTTGTGTGCCTTGAGGTCTTTCTGTACCCACAGAGGGCAGCAAATACTGTGTGCTGAGAGAATGGAAGAGCCTGAAGATGAGTAACATATCCTAGGGTTTCTGTGAATGGGTCACTAATGAGGCTGTGAAGTTGCATGATGGAGGGGCTTTGGGCTCACCATGGCAGGACAAATCTGGCAGCACCAGCTGGGCTGAGGAATGCCCTCTGTCCTACAAGGTGGCCAGTTCTTTTCATCTTTATGGTTCGCGGTGAGCATCACGCTATCTTTATTGGATACCATTGCTCATTAGCACTAACTGGTGTTGGCCATGCAGTAACAGCTTAAACTACAGGGATTGATTTCCCACGGGGATTCCCTCTCCTGAGGTGAGGTTGGGGCTTTGGAGAAACATGTCCCTCCTTCTAGAGTCATTCCAGGGTCATGTGTGTCTGTGTACAGTTGCGTGCACCCGGTGTACCTGTGTGCCCACACAGAACAATACCTGGAGCATGTGTGACCGAGTGTGCCCATGTGTACCTGTGTGTGTGTATGAGAATTCCATGTAGCCTGTATGTACTGAGTACAGCCGAGTATACCTTGTGGACCTATCTACTTACCGAAGAGCATATATGAAGCATATGTCTAGTGGAGTGTACCCCTTCTGGTGTATACATAGTGAGAATTATGGAATTTTGGTTTCTTTAAAAAACACAGAAATATCATAATTATAATAACATGTTTTCATTTTAATCCCAGGTGTGGGGATATGGGGCTGCTTCGGACTGTCCACAGCAGTTGACTGTGATTCGCCTCATGCTCTAACAAGAGGTGTGGTTTTGCCAGCTGCAGGCAGTTTCTGTGATTGTGTGATGTTTGAAATTCTGGGAACTTTTCAGCATGCACATGAATGCTAGAGCTCTGATAGACGTGGTGAGCGGTTGTTGGTCGTTCAGGGGAGAGGGGAGGTTGTAGTTTGTTAGTAGTTGTGTTCAACTAAGAAACAAAAAGAAAAAAATAGGTTCAAGGATCTCTCTCTCTCTCTCCCTCTCATCCTTTTTTCCCTCCTATATTGTGATGGGGGAGGGGCTGAAACTGGAGGGATAGAGGATGGGAAAAATAAAAACTCATAAAGTAGCAAAACCCAGCTACATATATGCATGTTTTTATGGGCACATCAGAGTAGCCCATGTGCTCCTGAATGCAGATGAGTACACCTATGTGAACCTGTGTTTCTACCCGGGTACCTCTGTGTAGCCTGTGTGCACCTGAGTATAGCTGAATGTACTCCTTTGAGCCTCTGTATGTGTATGGACAAATCCATATAACCTATGAGTACCCAGGTATAGGTTTACATGTGGGAACGGGTGTGTGGACCTGTGTGTGTGTGTGAGTATGTACACAGCACATGCACCCCTGCAACATACGGATGTTTTCACTTCACTGCCTCCTGTGTACTTTGTAGTCTTCCCCATGTCTGCCAGCCAGCCTTTTGGATTGTAACATCGGTGTGTTTGTCTCTGTGCACCTTTTGTATGTGTCCGCGTGTATTGGTATGTGCTGGCCTTCAGGAATATGTAACTTGGGTCCCTAGCCATCTTGGCATCTGTGCCCAGGTGGGTATGATGGTTTCTCTTTGCAGTATGGTAGCCCATGTACTGTTTGTTACCCCATTTTGTGGCTCCAAGGTAGCCCAACCTGAGGGAAAGAGGCTGCAGGGCATGGCTTGATTTGAGGACCTTGTGTTCTGGGTAGGTGTTTTTTTTCTGTGAAATCATAGTGTGTGGAGGAGCAGTGGGGAGGGGAGGAAGCAGCGCCTTCCTCTGTAATTCTGAGATTCCATTTCCATGTGTGGCAGAGAAGATGGCCACTTTTAATTTCCTGTCTGCTGGGATAGGGCTGACTGGAATCCCAGACAGAGCATATAGAAGACAGGTTGCTGGCTGTCACAGAGCTCTCTCCAAATTTCTTTGGTATAGCCAGCTATGATGGATCCCACTCTAGGTGGGTGCTAGGTGGGCTTCAGGCTATGGGTCTCCAGGCTGTGGCCACTCAGCTTGTGGCTGTTCCTTCCTTACAGGTCAGCTGGCCGCTGGAACCTGTGAGATTGTGACCCTAGACCGGGACAGCAGTCAGCCACGGAGGACAATCGCCAGGCAGACAGCGCGCTGTGCATGCAGAAAGGGGCAGATCGCAGGCACCACGAGAGCCCGGCCTGCTTGTGTGGACGGTAAGAGCCCCCAGTCTTTCAGCGACACTTCAGGGTTCTGAGCCCAGTCTTCGAGGGCTCCTGTGTAAGAGGGCATCACTCTGAAGGAGCCTTCTCCAGAATGCTCTGAGGCTAAGGCCTCAAGGTATATCCCTAGGGCCAAGACCCTGGACAGACTTTTGTTAGGCTTCCATATCTAGTGTGGTTGTGTCCATGGGGAAATGGGCGCGGCGGCCACTGACTATATGATTCCAGGTGTCAAAGACCTGATGTCTCCAACCGATGCTGTTCCCATCCTCAGCCCATGAAGATGTTTGTTATAACAAGCTGGGCCACCACCAGACTGATCAGTTTCCAAAAACCAGGAAGGCTCTTGAGAAAGGGGTCAGCAGACCCCAGGGCATGGTCAGAATAGGGCTGACAAGATCCTGAACTAGATCCCAGATGGTACCCACTGGGGATCTCGGATCTGGATAGGTACCTGGCCAGGATCTATTTTACCCAGGACTGAGACAAGAGGTTCTTTCAGGCCTTGGCTTCCCTGAGTAGCTTGGGGAATAGAGTCAGCTCTGGCTGGGGTCCTGCCCTCAGCTGGAGACCCAAGGGTACAGTAAAGAAGGACCCTAAACTTACCAAACCCTCATCTCCTTCAGCATCTTCTGTAGACTCTCCAGGGATATGGGCACCCCACACTCCTGCTGCCAACTTGGAAGGGCTTGAAGACTGTCTATAACACTCAGGAAAGTGGAGAATGAAGCTTAGCATGCTGACCGGGGCAGTGGGTGGTAGAGGAACCATAGGATGCCTGGGGCTTGGCTGACCTTATACATAGCTAGTGGGGTCCAATGACTGGGTTCTGTGCAGCCTGGTTTCCAAGGAGCCAGCATCTTGATCCCTGTGGGTAGAGTGATAGCAGCCTCTTGGTAAAAATAGACAGGTTTTCTGGGACCATGCTCAGGTGGGGTGGAGTTCACAGCCATAATAGCACTTTCTCTTCTCTTGCTCATTCTACCAGCCTCGGGGAGAGAGAGGCTGGGCCAATTGCTAATTGAATCTGGATCTACCCATCTGAAACCAAATCCCTGTCCCTCCCCCAACAGCCTCCTGGTGCTTTAGGAGCCAGGTCCCAGAGACCCATGTTAAAACCTCACCATTTTCAAGGGAGGCCAAACAAATTAGTTTGCTCACGTTTTCTGCACAGTGGGCATTTTCTAGGCCGACCTCTAATTTAATTTTTGCTTTTCTGTTTTCTTGCTCTGTGTGCATAGTAAGTTTCTTTGGATTCCACTGTGTCTGATGAAGACAGTTTGGGCTGTGGTGGCCCAGCTGACATTGAACTCCAGTGGCGTTTAGCCTGAAGTGGTCTATGCTGACCCTGGATTCAGGAACAAAAAAGTGTTTGCTCACTGCTCCTGCTGGGTGATTACATGCTCTTTTGCTTGCTGACTTTGTAGCGACTGGTAAATTCATTCATTCATTCATTCATTCATTCATTCATTCATTCAGCTAAATAAATCAGGTATAGACAGGTGTAAGGGAGATCAAGTCTCAAAACACCTGATCCATCAGACTCCACCCTCTCACCTGGGCGAGGGCATATCCTTGAAGGAGTATTTGAATGGGGTGTTGAGGGGTGAAGAGATCGACAGTAAAGCTCTCTGTGGAAGGAAGGAGCTTATCTTGAGACTGACTTCATAGTCCATTCTGCTCTGGACTGGCCTCTGGGCTGAGGCAGTTTTGCAGAAACCATTCTCCAACACGATGACCTTATGCACTATTATGTGTTGATCCACCTAACAGAAGAAAAGAAACCGGAGAGCAATCTGATCACCCACCCCAGGGCTTCCCATTTTTACACAGATACCATCAACAAGCAAACCTAACCATATAGCTATGCTTTTGTGAATGGCAGATCCAGTTTCTGCAGCCCTGGTTTGTGTGTGTTGATGCTCTGTGTTACTCCATGTGGTCCTGTCCCCTTCCTGGTGCTACCCTGTGGACCCTTGCTGGGCTCTCAGCAGAAAACTCTGTGCATTCTCGCTCTGGCCAGAGCCAAGAGGGGATGGCTCCTTCTCTCATGCTGAGATCTCATGAAATTCCCTTGGAAAGAAGTCAGAATAAAGCATGACTGTTAGGTGGCAGTGAGAAGGGGAAGAAGATATTTTGATTGCTTTTGGAGGAGAAATGCTTGGGTCGCTAGAGTTTACTAAAGGGTAGTATCTATGGATATGTCATTTAAGATCTGAGGGGGCTCCCCTGAGAACTTTGCACGAGGGCAGGCATGGGTGGGGATGCAAGCCATCCCAGCATGAGGAGAGTACCCTTAACTTCATACAGGTTCCCCATTGTTGTCTTCTGATATCTCTTCTATGTCTGCCCAATGTCACCCCATCCACCCACCCACCCACACTTAGGAGGCTCTCAAGCCCCCTGCTTTGCTCACGCTGATGGCTCTGTCACCTTCCTGGAAGGTACTGGGGTGAATGTGCCCATCTGCACTTCCTGGTAGGAATAGTAGCATGGGCTGGGAGGCAAAGCAGACCAAGGTTCTGGCCTGAGGCTCCATCTTCATGTCTTCTCACCACCCACAGTTCGTGAGCAAAAGCCCACATCTTCCTAAACAGCTGGGGACAGCAGCTCAGCAGTCTCAAGCCTTGAAAGCAATATAAGACACTGAGTGCTTCATAAGACTGATGCCAATTTGGGGACCAACATCTTTCTCTCACTAATACATAAGACTTGCATGTTATCAGATGTGGCCATGGGAACTCCTCTGGGGAAGTAGGGAGAGGGATATATGTTTGCAGGCCTGGTCTATGTAAGAGGGCGGCTATGTTTCTGGGTAAGGATGGGGCCCCTTATCTTGTGAGTTGATCCGGAAAAAGGCAAGGGAGTAAGGGACCTCCCCTCTTAGAAATAGCTACAAGGGATTGGGAATGCAGAATCTGCCCTCAGTTACAGTTGGCTGATTTCCCACTAGAGACCTGAGGGACCTTTTCAACAGGTGTCACTAGGACCATTAGATATCCACATGCTGACACCAGAACCCTACCTCACCCCCTTCTGCATTGACCTCAGAGCAGATGTGAACAGTGAAAACTGTCTGATCCTCAGAAGATTAGCAAGTCCCCATGGATCTTGGCTTTGGCTAAAGTTTCCTAGGTACAACCACCAAAACAACAAGAAAAGGAACAGAAAGAGATTGGGCTTCACCAAAGCATGAAATTCCTTTGTATCCAATTATCCCATCATGAAAGAGAAAACTTCGCTTGTGGAATGACTCGCTGGTTAAAGGTGTTTGCCACTAAGCCTGACAACCAGAGTCCGATCCCCAGAACCCACATGGTAGAAGAAGAGCAACAGGTTTCCAAGTTGTTTTCTGGGCTCCGCACACAAGGCATAGCATGAACTCTCCCACAAACACAAATAAATAAATAAGCAAATAAATAAATAAATAAATAAATAATATATAAATATCTTTAAAACCTTTAAAGAAAAAAGGCTGGGGATATGAGTTAGCAGGTAAAGACACATGCTTCAAGTCTGGCAACCTGAGTTTTGATCCCCAGGACCCTGATGGTGAAAGGAGAGAAACAGTCTATAGGTTGTCCTCTGACCTCCACACACATCTCATGGCACATGCATGTTGATACGCCTACACAAAATAAATAAATAGGTGTAGAAAGAGAAAAACAGCATTTAAAGAAAAGTAAAGTAAAGCTTCCACAACGGTGAGAAAAGAGAGCCCATGAGTTCCTTAGCTGTTTAGCATGGGGTTGTGTTGTGACTACAAAGCGTATACCCACAAGAAACCAAGCTTGTGATCAGAACACAGGCACACACACTTCCAGAGCTTCCAGAATGGTAGTAACTGAAGAGTGGACACAGCAGAGTGTCCATCACAACCCCACAAGGTCAGCAGACTGTGGCCATCCACAATGGCTAGCCAGGCTGGACCACTGTGAGACTTGAAGCTGTGATGCTGGTGAAAGAAGCCATGCCCCCAGAGACCACACATGGGGCCTGTTGCTGTGAAATGTCCTGCAGAAGTTAAGAGACAAAGATTACAGGTAGTCATACTGGAGAGGGGTGTTTGCTTTTGGATGACAAGATAAGCCAGGCTATACTCCTCTTCGGCAGTGGTCAGATGGGTTACCTTGTAGGGGCCCTGCCACAGGATGGGTTGTGGAAGGCCCTTACATGGCACCTCAGCATCTGGGGGAGACACAACCAGGTTCCTAATGGACTTTCAACTGACAACTCTGTGGTTTTCTCAAAACTGGTCCCACAGGCCCCAGCCTGCTGTGGCTCCGATAGTGTCCACCATCTCCCCCAGCATGGGTCTCTGCTTCATAGTGTAGGATTTGGTTGCCAACATGAGCAGCCTCGTGGTCCTTGGCTTGTCAGGTGTAGCAGGCAGTGACTTGATCCAGTGTTGTCTAGCTGTGCCTGAGGTAGGCTTGCTGCAAACCCCTGGAAGCTGAGAGAGACTTAGGAAATGCTTGCTACGCTTCACCTTGCAAGCACAGCCATCATGCTTGAAGATCATCCTGGTCCACATGGAGCTTGGGTCCCTGGTGAGCTGTGAGCAAGCTGTGACTGGCATCTGAGAGGGAGGGGACATGAAGAGAGCCTCAGTTCCCTGGATGTGAACTTGCATCGGGAACACCAAGGAGCCATCTCAACAGGAAACTAGTCCAGTGGCTTTCCCCGCTTCAGTTGTGGCCACAGAGTTTGTTGTCCACTGCATTGATAGCCTGTATGTTTCCTTAAGGTCATTTGGGCATACTGTCTCTTGGATCCATTCAGTCCTTAACTGTCAGAAACATGGCATTGCAACCCAGTTACTATTTGATATTCATGCACAGCTAAGATGATCAGCCTCAGAGCTCCTGCTTAGGATGTGTGTGTGTATAGATACATATAAGAATCCAAACTGAACAACTCTAGGTATATGATTGCTATACTTTATTAAAGATATATAGAAACAAAAATAAGGAGGAATATTCTCTCTATGCCGG